TAGGGTCTACAATGGGTGTCCCTCAAATAAGCTTATTTGAGGGATCCCTCAATGTGGCGGAGCCACTCCTAGACATGGAGTGGCCCTGGCCCCCCCATATTTTTACCACTCTTATATTATATTATATATAATATATAAAATTTGTGATAAACAACTTAGAATTGAAGTTAAAATGTCCTCTAAAACAAATTAGATATGACTTAATTAGAAATATTTAGCTCTAAACATGTAAGTATTGTATATTTAAGTGTTTTATATACTTATATTTTCTATTTCGGCCCCCCCCCCCCAACTTTACAATTTTAGCTCCGCCCCTGTATATATACATGATTCCTTGTAACTTATTGAAGAAGGTATGCAAGTACAATTAGGCCTATACTTGTATACAATCAGGTATATACCCGATTCACACTCTTTATTTGATACACTTGTACTGCCTCCTCTTTCATGCTTTAAGTATTGAATATAAACTATGAGATGAAAAGTATACAATATTGGAGAATTCTGTTAAAAAAAGGAGTAAATTTCTGTCCGGCTTCCTTGTTTTGCTCCGTGTATTTTCACTCAAATCTCACTTTTCACTTGTATTCTCAATTGACCAATTCTGGCCGTTGTGCTTTCACTCTGTCTCATGTAGCCCCGTCAACTCTGTTATATTATTGTAACTTTAATTATTAAAAAAATTGAAATTCAATTTTTAAGATTTTTTTTTAAATAAAAAAAAGGTGCCTGCAGGCTAGGTTGGGATTGTTGTATTTATTTAAATATATATATACATTTATAAAGATGATATTGAGAGAGGGCAAGGGTAGAATCAAGAATTTATCAACGGATGAGCTAGCTAAAGTTATTAGCTTAAAAATCTAATAATCATTTTCTTTTGTACTTACAATTTCTATTGTCTTTCTAGAGATAAAAGTATACATTAAATCATATAAATCACGTTAGTTCCTCAAGTGCAAGGCTGCATGCTAATTTCCCATAAGTTTTAGCATAAAACAAATACAAATTAAATGCAACCAAAAAACACATATGATCAAAATGAAAATATGTTCAACAACATAATTGAAAGTGTGCATATTTTCATGTATATTTCTATTGATGTCTTGCAACTAAATTCATAAAGAATTGAACTTTTTAGACTTTAATAGGTGAATACATACTTGGCTATATTTAAAACAAGTCAAATATATAGGTTTGATATTTTTTTAATCCCCAAAAACCTCCCTAGGCTACAACCCACTGTAGCCATTAGCCTAGTTTTGCCCATGAGAGAGGAAAAGCGAACCTAAGACCTTGAGTGTATAATAAATGCTCTGAACTAATTGAGTTACAAGTTACAACTTACAAGCCATTTACTATTTTTATATAAATTTTAAATATCTTTAATTTTTAAAGTTTTTTTTTTTAATTTTTTATACAAGTGATATTTTTTTGGGGTGCCAAAGATGGGAAGGGGAAGGTGGAAACTCACAAACCTGAGTATCATGGAGGCTTGAACCCAGGACCACTTGGGAGCACACCAAAGGGGAATACTAGCAACCTTCTCTCTAACCTTCTCATTTGGATCTTCTCCCTTCTCCTTATGACAAGTGTCACTTTCCTTACACTTAAAATAATATAATTAATGCATCACATAAGTTAGATTTTATTTTTCAAGTTTACCCTTATTAAATGTATTAGCTTTTATATTTCCTTCAATTTATCCAATTTTTTTTACAACTTCTTTAGCACGTTGTTAAAAATTAAATAAGAAAGAAACATAAGAAAAAACGTCATTTAAAAAAAAAAGGTTAGTTTCATGACATTGTTAGCTAACAACCCCAGACACGTCATTCTTATGGCTATTGCAGATTGGACATATGCCAATATTGAAAAAACTAGAAAACCCACCCACTCTCTCGTTGCGCTCTCTTGGCAATATTCGAATGAAGGAGTGATTAAAATCACTACCGACAGTTGCAGAAAAGGTGACGATGGATGCATTGCTGCTGGGGGTGTACTAAGAGATATTTCTGGGCAGTGGATGAGAGGCTTTGCTATTAATCTTGGTGTAGGACAAGTCTTGGAAGCTGAGTTATGGGGCATCTATCTTAGACTGAAAATTGCTTGGCATATAGGTTGCAGTGCAGTTTTGCTTGAGTCTGACTCAATGATCGCGGTACACCTGCTTAACAAAAATGTGGAAGACCTTCATCCTCTTGCTGCTATGTTGTGGGGATGCCAAGACTATATAAACAAAAACTGGGTTTGTTCTGTTCATCATGTATATCATGAGTGCAACATGGTAGTGGAAAAACTAGCTAATTTGGGTTCATGTCTTCAGTTGGATTTGTCAACTTTCCATGACCCTCTTGACAGTATTAGGTCCTTTCTTAGTGAAGATTTACTTGGAGTCTATAGGCATCGAGCCATTGTTTAATTTCTTTGTTGGGCATTAGCCTCGTTTCTTCATCCAAAAAAAAGAAAGTGATATCATCATTATTTTGTGTTTAACAAAACATACGTCCTCTTTGGAGAAAAAAAAAACACTTCAGTTTTCCCCATTTTAGAAAAATTAGTGTATAGTGACAAAAAACTTTAGTAATTAACATATGATACATTACCTATTTTTGTTTTGGATATGGTGGATGAGTTATAAATTTTATTTTGTTAAAAGCCAATGGCCCTACTCATGTGCTCTTTAAGCTTGTTTAATTTGTATTTAAAATTACACTTTTTACCCTTTGTATTTTATATGGGAGCCAGATCACGCCCTAGCTTTAGATTCAATCTCAAACGGAGACCACGAGGTCCTAATCAGCACCGACAACGACCATGGCTAAGAAGGTCACTGCAAAGCACCAGAGAAAGGCCTTTTCCTATGGAGAAGCAATAGGAGGACCGACTGCGAAGAAAGGCATCTTCTGTCGTTTTCTGGCGGAGAATCAATAGATGACGGAGAAGGCGTTTTCTGGCGGAGAAGCAATTGATGACGACCATGTTTTCTGGCGGAGAAGGCGTTTCGTACCTTCAGCTTTGCCACAAGAACCAGAACCAAACTATTGTGTCATGGTTGGTTTGCCTATAATCTTCTGAGATGGATTAATCATGCATGTTTCGGTCAGATAAGTTAGATGTTTGGTCTTACACGGGTATCACTAGAACACGGTGAGAGACTGGAGTCTGTAGATGCAGGGCCAATGCACGGTGGTTGAAGGCTAGCTTTTTGAGAGGAAGAACATTCCCTCAAGACATTGAAATGAGCTTTGTGAGCCTCGCTCTAAGCAAATGCTCAACGTTCTTCTTCTTGTAAATAGTAATAGCTCCTTCTTTTTCACTTTCCAAAAAGCCTTTCTCAATCTGTGTGTTTTGCTCAGAGCTCGAGAGTGAAAGCACTTTAGCCTCGTATTTGCTTTTGTATTTGTATAAGCCCTGTACAGCTTGATTAGCTAGAGCTGCTTGGAAAAGGATTTTCAGAATATAAGTGCTTTTGTCAGCATCACAGGAGTTTTGTCAACACAAGGGCCAGACTTGAGCAGCTGTTTATGAATTGCAGTTTTGGAAACTGCATTGTAATTTTGAAATCCCTTTTCCCATTCTGTCAATAATATAAGAAGCTCTACCTGTTTCAAACATTTAACATTAGAATTCTGTGATTCTACATGAACAAGAAATTTATATATACATTCTGAGTGGATAAAACACAGAAGGAAAGAAGATCAATGTAGGACTAAATTAGCAAGCCAGCCATTTATTCTTTTTAGTAAGATCAATTTGTTCAGCTAATGTGAGAACACAACACAACATAGAAAATAGAAAACTTTGTAACCATAGATTTTCTATGTGCATGAATAAAATACTGAAAGAAGAGAATCCCATATTTCCTGATATAGAAGCTAAGTCGTTCAGTTTCCTCAGACATCAACTAAAGTTCATCATTCAAGAGTTATTTTGAAACCTCAGTTCAACTACAACCTCAAAATTGTAAAATCTCTCAAATGCTAGATCATATCATCTGCCACCTGCTTACGACAGCATAGAAATGCATGTGCTACACATCCTTCAAAACAAGTAGAGCGCCTGGCCGGTGGTGGGCGACCGGAGGCGGCAGTGGCGGTTGGCCGGATGTGGATATGTGGCATTGTGTGTAATTTTGAGAAAGCCTTAGAAGGAGTGGCATTGTATGTAATTTTGATATTTTTTAATGATATTATTGTAAAATTAGGTACTATATTTTAGTCTTTGGCCTAATGCTAATTAGATGAAATTGTATTCCTATCTTCCAAATTAGCAAACTATATTGTGGTTTAAAACTAAAGCTCCCTTATATTTTCTTACTTAATTTTTTAACAAAGTAGAAAGAAAGTTGTAAAAAAACCTAGCTTGTTATTAAAAAGAGTTAATACATTCTATAAGGGTAAACTTAGAAAACAAAAACTAATGAGTAATGCTACACTTACCACATTTTTATCTCACATGATTTGACATGTCCATATTATATGCCACATCAATTAAATCAATGAAGTGTATTTTAATTAAGACAATTAGAAAAACAAATACTAGAATAAATCATAAAAGAAAAGAAAATATTAAATAATTTTAATTGACGTGGCTGTCTGTCTCAGCTGCCACATAAGATGGTATAGGGATGTGGTATACAAATATGGTAAGAGTAGCATTATTCAAAACTAATTTGTGTGATGCATTAATGACATTATTTTAAGCATAAGAAAAGTGACACTTGTCATGAGAAGAATGGAGAATGTCCAAAAAAAAAGATTAGAGAAAAGGTTGCTAGCGTTCCCCAACCGGTTGGCATCTTTAAAGTTTTTTAATTTTTCTCTAAATTGAATTTTAAAATGTTTAATAGTTGCATATTACCAAAATATTCATGCTATGTCGACAGGACCCACCTTGAAAGTCCTGTGTTCCTTTTTTTGGTCAAATCCTTCCCCTCACTATCACTTATATTTTTTTAAAAAAAAGTGGATAAAAACTGCAAGAGTGAAAATGCAGGAAAAAAACAGCAATTAAGCAAACAGGCAGACACAGTAATTAGTGAAATTCTTCCACGCAGTTACCTACCATTCAAACTTTGAAAAAAAAGGATCAGTGCCTAATGGCCGAGCAAATTCCTTCCATCTAATCTAATAAACCTTATTTGGTACCAAAATCAAAATCAAAGCCCAACAAGAAGCTTCGCTGAGCTGTGAGTAAGGCGTTCCAATCTCGCAATTCCTTCTCCTTTCAGCAGCTAACGAAATTTAGGGTTCAATTTGTTATGCAAATTGTTTGATTGTACCATTGTTGCAGGAAGAAATTATGGGTTTGTCGTCTGCAAGTACCACATCTAGCGCAACCCCAGAAGGACTGCAATTGTGCATATTTGATTTGAGGAGGGGACAAAATGAAGGGCAAGAATTGGACAAGATATTATTTTTCTTCCCTGCCGATTTGCCCTTCTCAGCACAATTCTCTGTGATTGGGCTCAGTGAAGGACTCATCACATTTACCAGGTTTATACTTTCTATCCCTTTTTCTTATATACATTTTATACAAGTGTTTTTTGTTTTTGGGTTTTTGATTTTTATAAGAACTTGTTTATATTTTGTGCAGAATCTTCTCTCCAGAGGCTGCTTGTGAAGCCATTGAAGCAGAGAGGCATTCGCATGTTTTTTATGAGGCGGAACCAGATATCTGGATGGTGATGGTGAGCTCTGTTTTGCTTACAAACATTCCTGTCATTGTTAGTCCTTTTCAATTATGTGTTTAGCTAATGTTCATATATTGTTGGTAGCATGTTATAACTTATGGGTTTTTTCGTAGCTAAACTAATTTTTTTTAGAAAGCAGTTGTAGGCACTGCTATTTTGAAGTAATTTCAAATCATTGCTTCACCTTGTTGTAGGTAGTGGAGAAAAGCAAAGAGTTTGAAGCTATTTGGAGAAGTGATGCATTGAGAAAGGTTCTTAAGGAAGTCCATTATCTTTTTGTGATGTTTCATGGATCTTTAAGAGCGTTGCTTGACAAAGACCCTGGTGGAGGACTAACTCGATCTCATTTGTACTATTTCATCATGGACTATCTTGGTGGTAAGTCATCATACAGTCGTGTACCTACTAATTACACTGAAGTCTAGTTTTATATTGCCCTTGGTTCAAATTTCATTGTAAAATCACTAATTGCCAGCATTTCAAAAGCGGTCTCCATTCGATGGGTGCTGCTGGGGTAATACTGAAGTTGCTGTATCATGTCCTCTCGATTGGATTTTTCTACCTAAGTAATGCTGAAGTTGCTGTATCTCATATGTATGGTTTTACTCTCTGGGGCAGATTTTCTGGTCGGGAAGAAACTACTGTTACCATCATTCCGTGACTGTTTAAAGGAGCGTGGAACTGTACAGATGCTTACTGTAGGGCGGGAAGCAGCAATTGAAGTACAGGTTTGTTTTCAGAATATAAATTAATCATATGTTTATTTAATGCTACATTTTTATTCAAGATTCTTCCTTGGAAGTTATTAATGTTTTAGCATGTCCTAGTCATAAACTTGTTCTAGGTTTGGTGTATTAGTTGTTTAGACGCTCATTTGGGTCCATGAGTTCCTCTCCATGGTTGAATGTTTTTTTTTCAGCTTCCAGATTGTGGTATAATTTGGAAAGATGGTTGTAGTACATGTACTGGTATTATGTTTATTCTCTACTTTTCTTATCCATATTCCTTATAAGTTTTATGGACATACCTTACTAATTTTTTTACCATAACTTATAATGCAATGCTTCATTAGTATTAAGCCTGTCTATCATCACTAACTATCCTATTATCTTCTTTCTTGCCCACTTGTATTCTACAAAACTGTGCATTTCTGCACACATGTGGGCTTTTATAATCACCCTTGTTCCGACCTGACTTCTAAGTTCTACCTGAATCTCCTAATTTTAGTCTTTTACTTGTTAGTGCAATGTTGTACAATTTTTCTTTTGTGTATGCTTTGAATGGTTTCATTTGTCTTTGCAGTCGCTTGTAAGGGTGCTCGAATCTTGTGCTGGGAACATACCCTGTCACTCACTGATCTTGTTTCAGGACCTGTTGGTGTCCACAACACTTTCTCCTGTATGGTTTGATCTTCTAGGCCTTTTAACTGTTTTAAATCATTTCATATGCCATTGTGTTTTAGTCTTAAAGTTTAGGAGAAGCTTAAGAAATGAGTTACATTTTTCTTGTGTAGAATTTTCATAGAAAGAGGTGCTGAGTGCATTTATTTTGTCAAATGCTAACTTTCGTGAATTTTGTTTTTCCTATCTTTGTTAGGATGACACCGTAAACCTATTTGCATATGCTGTTTTAAGGCTGACTCCCCGTGCTTTATCCTCTGGAGTAAGTTCCTGGTCCTATTTACGCAAAGGAGCTACATCCCATGTATCCTCAAGTTCTATCTTGGCCCGTCCTGGTGGTGTTCCAGAACAATTTCAAGGCTCAGATGTCAACTCTCCTGCTGGAGATAACAATTATCGTGTCATACGGCCCTTGCAGCAGGATAAGTGGTCCAAAGGGAAGGATGGTTTTCTTGTCACTGATATTTGGGGTGCAGAGGCTGGTAACTTGATTTCTGCCACCCCAACAGTTTTGCTCCATCAGACAGAGGAGAGAATGTATCTGTGTGCCCATCAGCATAAGAGCCTTACCTTAATTTTTCTCATTCCTGTTTCTTCAGTACTAATTGGGGATCAAGGTGTTTCTGTGGTGAAGCAGCAAGTTCTTGAAAATGTTAGCTTCCTAGCCCTGCTAGTAACTCTAATGCTTATGCTATCAAACTGCTTCTTTACATTTTAAACTTGTCATTAGCACTGTCATGTGGAAATCGTTACCCTAAATCAATAGAGGTCAGCAATAGAAATCCTATTTATATTGGGTCTCTACCAAAACCAAATTTCTTGTTAGATGTGTTGAAGCAACATTTTAACGTCTTT